TCATTGTTTAGAATTTTTGTGTTAAAAAAAACATATAATTTGCTAATGTAATTGTGTTCATTAAATTTATAAGATCGTAAGTCAGCGAACGAAGGCGGTGTTTTCTGATTGGAATTTCTTTATCTTTAAAGGCGGTTTTAAAGTTACCAGATAGAGTTTTTATTTCCTTAAATATTTTGGAATTAATAACGAATTGATCGTTATTGTTTTTTATCAAATCATCAATTTTATTTTGAACTTTTATGAAATCATCATGATCTGTTGTTTCTGCTATCCATTTCCAAATTGTGCCTAATTCATTAATGCCTCTTTTTGATCTAGTGGGTATTATTTGAGAAATAAGTATTTTGATAATTTTTAAATCGTGGAGTATTTCCCATTGTGAATTCTGAACGTTATGACTGTTTAAAAATTCTGTTTCAAGAGTAATAAAATCTTTATAAAATCTAAAATTAGTTATATGAAATAAATTTGCGTATGATTCATAAATGAGGACTTCTTTGGTATTCTTATAAAGAAAGAAATCATGGCTTGTGTAATTTCGGAGTCGGTTGTAGCTACCAGCAATAATAAGTACATTATTGAATTCATTATCTGGAATTTATGATAAGTCAATTTGTTTAAAATTTAATATTATCTTTATGAGTCGTACTCTTTCTGTTAATAATATTAACTTTATTAGGATGATTTCCCTTAACTACCTGTTTTTTATATATACAATTAAGCTTATTTCTTTCCCCGTGTTTCTTTTCGTAAATTACTTCTCCTACGTGATAGTCCTTTTTTTCTGTCTTTATTATGAAAATCTAACATCTTATCCTGTGCTTGCTTTAACAATTGGGGAGTTTTATCGTGTTTGATTTTATAAAATAATATATCATACGGTCGTTGATTGGTTATAGAGTGAATTGATAAGTTGTATTTTTGAGCTGCTCTAATTACTATTTCGGAATAATCAACTAAGTTAAGTTAATCTTTAATGCAACGTGCAATTTCTGTTAAAGTAGAGTGTGACCTTTCAATTTGTCCGTTGGAAGTACCATGTCGAGGATCATAAGCATAAAATAAAGATATCCCGTTTCTTTCCCGTTTGTACAAAAGATTTAAATTGGATGAAGAAAAACTTGGGTCGTTATCTATCATAAGGTTTTGGCTAATGGGAATTGTTGCAGAATCTCTGAAACTTTGTTTTCTATATTTAATTTATTTGGGATTTCTTTTACAACTACAAATTTTGAATATGAATCTATACAAGTGATGAATATAAGATTTTGGGCGTAATAAATGTCAATATGCAAACTTTCACCTTCTCTATCCGGAATAGGTGCTTGACCGATAGGAATTTGCACTGGATGTCCGTTATATTTGTTCTGATTGCAGATTGTGCAATTCTTAACAAACTCCTTTAGTTTTTGATATAAGTTAGGCCAATAATATAGCCGGTTAATTTGTTTATAATTTTCATCAAGCCCTCTGTGTGCTCGACAATGCGTTTCTGTTATTATAAGCGATCTGTCTTCAGCGTTTTCTACATCTTGGACAAATATTCTAGTAAATAAAAATTTATTTATAAAATTATCCTTAAGTGGTTTTTGAATTATATAAAGGTCTTCTAAGCTACAATGAATTCCGATTGTTATATAAGGTGGAATGTATTCCTTTAAGATAGTTATTAAATTTTCCGGAGTGTCTATAATATGTCTAGTATTTCCGAACACATTAATCGACTCATGTATTGTATACCTCCCCGTTGCTATTAGCAATTGTTGCTTAAACTGGTTTAAGGGTTTTCGGGTTTCTTGAATAACATTCTCAAAACTACTCTCTGCTGAATGCTGTATTTTTTGATCTGAGACCGACTCGATACTTTCTGTTAAGTTATTAATTTGTATCCTAGATAATGCATCAGCAACAACATTTGTTGCTCCTGGCTTATAAATAATTTTTGGAGAATAACTTTCAATGAATGAATACCATCTTTTCATTTCGATATTAGGTTTCTTTTGAGAAATTGAAAATGAAAAAGGTTAATAATCTGTGTAAATTTCAATGTTGGTAACTCCATATAAATAATTTCGTAAATTTTTAAAAGCCCAAACTATAGCTAAAAGTTCCTTCCTATTAGTAGCATATAATTGTTCAGTTTTTGTGAGAGTTTTTCATATAAAAGTAATTGGTTTTCCTTCCTGAGAAAGAACCGCACCAATAGCCAAATCTGACGCATCGGTTGTTAAAGTAAATTTTGTATTATAATCGGGTTTAACTAACTCTACTTGTGCGATTAAATTATTTTTGAGCTCGTTGAAAGCGCTTACAGCTGGCTCATCCAAATGTATAGAAGTTTTACGGGATGCCTTTTTTAATACTTTGCCATTTTAGCCTTCTAAATATATCGTTAACGGTTTAGCAATTTTAACGTAATTTTGAAAAAATGTTCTGTAGTATCCCGTAAGGCCTAGGAAGCTTCTAAGCTCTCGAATATTTTTAGGGATTGGATATTTTACGATTGTGGAAATTTTTTTCGGGATCGGTTTTAATCACATTGTGAAAAACAACGTAACCGAGAAAGTTTGTTTCAAATTTGAAGAACTTTGATTTTTCAATCGAAATTTTTATATTTGCGTTCATCAAAATTTTATAAATTAAAAATTATAACAATTAAATTTTTATAATGCTGTTCAATTGTTTTTGAGAAAATAATAATGTCATCCATATAGACATAACACGTTTTTCCAACTTGTTCTCTTAAAATATCATCCATCGCTCTTTGGAATATTCTAGGGGCGTTTGTTAACCCAAATGGCATTCTCAGGAATTCGTATGTTCCATTATTTTTTGAGAATGTCTGTTTCATTCATGAGAATTTGGTGGAATCCTGATTCCAAATCAATTGTGGAAAAGTATTTAGCCTTCCCGAGGTTTGACAAAATTACGGAAGGATCCTGCATTGGATATCTATCCGGTATGGTGTTTTCGTTAAGTTTCTTATAATCTATTACTAGTCTAAGTTTTGGAGTTCCATCTCCGTTAAAACCCTTTTTTGGTACGACTAATACCGGGGAATTATAAGGGCTTCTGCTTGGCCTTATAATTTCTTCTTGAAGCATTCTGGCGATTTCAGAATTTGCAAAATCTGAAGCTGATAGAGCATAAGGATAATGCTTACTATAAAATAGCAGTTTCCGTATTTATTTCACCGAGTATGTCAGTCCTATTGTTAATAATATTTAATATTTTGTTGTCCAAATCTTTTCTTTGATATGACGATGAATTCTGTATATTGTTAATTTTTTGGTTGTCGGATACTTCTACGACGGCGTGTTCAGGATTTTTGTATCCCAAACTTTTATTTTGGTCGGATATTTCGACGACGGCGCGTTCATGATTTTTAAATCCCAAACTTTTATTTTAGTCGGATAATTCAACGACGGCGTGTTCAGGATTTATGTTTTCCAAACTAAATGCACTTTGATTTCCCTCTTCAGATTCGGATTTGAATGGTGTTTTCTTCTGTCAAAGAATGTTGGCTTAAAATACTACCGTTATCGTAATTTAATTTTTCCTCCTTTCCATTATACTTTATTACCACTTTTGCTGTATCAATTACAGCTCCGATTTTTTTCAATAGGTTGTAGCCAACAAGTAAATCTGAGTCTAGCCCATCTAAAGTAAAAAGTAAACCGCGTATCGAAAATAGTAATCATATGATAAAACTTAATTATTGAATATCCATTCACTGTGGATACTCTTTTATATATTGATAGTTCATTTTTGTTTTTATAAATTCCTGTTTTAATATAACAAGAAGTTGCCCCTGTATCAATCAATATCTTTATTTTTTTATTTATTTTATTATCGTCTTATTATGTAAGGTAGGCCTACTCCTGAGTCTGCCCTAAAAGTGGTCCTCAATGTTGTTCAACCTCATAGTCTTGTTAGCCGGTTGGTTAACAGTTCCTGTTTGTACTCTTTTATTTTGAGGTTGTTCCTGTTGTGTGTTTTGTGTTTCAATTCTTTTAGTTTGATTCCATTTATTTTGATTGCAGTTGTTATTTTGATAATTATTATATCCTTTATTATTATTAATGTTCTGGGGTCTATTTGACCTCTGAATTGATTCATCAACATCCATTGGCTCTGGCTTATTTTGTTGTGGTCTAAAAGAGTTCCACTGATTTTGTTGGTTATTATTAAATTTTCCTGATTCCAATTATTGTTTCTATTTTGATTAAAGTTGTTATAATTATTTTTGCTTTGATTATTTGCTTGATTAAACCTTAAGTTATTAGTATTTATTTGATTATTATTATTATTGTTATATTGTCTTGGTTTGTTATTTGAGTTTTGTTGCCCATATAAGTTTGACTCATTAGTCTTGCATTGTGATGATATAAAATTGTTCGCAAATCGGGTGGATTCATTGAAGATATTACATCTGAGATATGGACGTTAAGCCCAGTTATGACCACTCGTAGTACTGTCTTTCTATGTTTTTCATTAAGTTCAGATGTAATTGGCTTATTCCTCCCACGTGTCATAATGGTTTTGTTAATCAAGAGAGTTAATTTTTTATTTACCAAATTATAAAATTCCATAATCTATAATTTGCCCTGACTTAATATACTTAAATCCTGTTCTAAAATATGTATAGGTCGCTTGTCACTAAAAACAAAATCTAGTCTTGCCATTATGGCGTCAAAATTCAATACAGTTGCATTATGAGTGAAAGCATCATGTGACGCTCAGGAGCGCACAAAGTAAATATAATATAATAACATAAGCAGTAGCTATAGATAGTCGTTAAGTAGGCAAGAAGCCGAAATAATTATAAGTTCAATACCGTAAAAAGGCAAGAAGCCGAAATAAATTTAAGTTAAACGGAAATATTCAAATTTAAATATCCGGGCGGGCGCGCCAAACAAAGGAAACGGTCACACTGACCAATAGCCACCACAAGCCACACGCGGTATGGCCATGGCTATAGGATTGTGAAACTACAGTCACACTGGCGAGGGTGGCCCATACAGATCACTCGGCGGCCGACGGCGATCGGAGAAGGTAAGGCTTACACTTTGGAGTAAGCAAACTTCTCCGGGAGTTAACTGCGGAGTCTTTTTCGGGATAGGGTCTAGTACCCCGTCCACCCAATACATTGTAGTTAGTTGTTTCCCCCTTCCCCTTCTCCCCACCCCCCCTGAAGACCGGCCGTCATCAGTGATATCCGACCTTTGGGATCCCACACCCCAAGACCGACCGTCATTAGTGACACCCGATCTTCGGGGGACTCCACCACTCGGTTCTCCGAGGCGCTCCCCGGCCGTCTGCCGAACCGATCTCACCTGGTAGACCCAAGCGGCCTCCACCCTCTTCTCGGACCTGGTAGACTCAAGCGGTCTCCACCCTCTGCTCGAAACTGGTAGCCCCAAGCGACTCCACCCTCTTCTCGAAACATGGCAGACCCAAGCGGCCTCCAAACTGTCTCATCCTCCTAGACATAAGCATAGCCAAGAGGGACGTGGCTTTTCCTTTCTCATCCACAGGGTACCCGCCGCCGCCACCGCCGCCGACGCCGCCGCCACCGGGACGACGACGGCCAACGACGACGCCGAACGACGACACGGAAGAAGACCCCGGCAACCTACGGGCGGACGAGCCCCTGCAGCACGAACTATATATATATATCCTATGTAACAAATAATTCTTAATAAACGCATACCGATTCGATTTCACTGAACCCGCTTACGTGTCCTACTCTGGGAACCGGGTCGACCTCTTACAGCAACCACTCCTGACATAAATAAATGTTGGAACGAACACCTGGACACCGTTGAGCTACCTCAGCAAAGCAGGATCGTTACATGGCGCCCGAACAGGTTAAAGTGGTTGCAAAGAGAAAGACATCGGTACAGAGTTATGTCGACGTGGGTGTACCTAGCAACTAAGGCGGATCTGATCAAGTACGCAAGAGAGTTCGGATTAGACACAACAGGAAAAGTGGAGGAGCTAAGACAGATACTGTCAGCATTCGCAAAGAACACAGACCACACGGAGACGATCAGGCAAAGACTGGGAGTACTAGCAGAGAAGCACAAGAAGGAAAAAGGAGCAACGGATCAGAGCAGCACACCAGCGGAGGAACTCAACACAATGGCGAACCAGATCGACATACGGGTCAAACAAACCAACACCCCACCATGGCGGGAATCAGAAACTCCAGACATACCGGACAGAAAGGAACAAAAGGTAGAAGTGGAAATCCTAGACCAAGTAAGGAGTTGGGGGATCCGCTACCAAGGAGCAACCAATCCCTTGAAATTCATCAGCAAGATGGAGGAATGGGCCAAAGGCTACGGCATACACAAAGATGCCCTGATCCAGACGATGCCATTCATCCTAGAAGGAGTAGCAGTGGACTGGTGGAACACCACACCGAGCCAGATAAGGACATGGGAGGACCTCACTTTTTGCCACCAAGATATCAGGAACAGTTGGAAACACAAATCACTCAACTACGGCAGCGAGAAACAGAGTTAACAAGGGAATACGCAATGAACCTGAGGAAACTAATGAGATTTACAGAGTATTCAGAAGAGACAAAGCTGGACCGGATATACAGAAACTGCAGAAGTAAAATAAAGCTCTACACGACACGGTCGGGATTTAAAACATTAACAGAATTCCTGAAGTTGGCAGAAGAAGTGGAAGAAATAGAAACTATGGAAGGAACCAACAGACCAATAACAACAGGAAACCAGAATTTGACGTCGGAAATCTGCATAAGATGGGGAGGAACAGGGCACGCCGCAAGAACCTGCACAAACCCCCCAAAACTGTTTTGCTGGGTATGCGGCAGAAATGGAACAAGAACAGCGGAATGTTGCCGAGCTGGAGCGGGAAACGCCAAGGCCTGAGCAGATAACGCTGGCAGCTTAGGACCAAAAACAAATACCAGCGACAGGTGAACAATTAAGTTGTGACGGATTCCAAATATTGGCCACGGTAAAAATCGGACCAGTAAAAGCAAAAGGAACAGTGGACACAGGAGCTTCACGGAGTGTGATCAGCAAGAGAAGATACAACGAATTGAGAAAATATGGAAAATGGAGGAAGGGAAGGACAGAAATAACATTAGCGAACGGATCAAAGCAAAGATCGGATGGAGATTTTACAACCAACATACAGTTCGCAGGAGAAGAATTCGAGTTTGACTTCCTCATCTTAAATCAGGTAACAGGAGGAATATTATTAGGAATAGACTTTCTGGCCAAAACGCGCACAAGAATCCAATGCGGCAACCTGGAATTAGATATCACCGAGGCAGAGACAACACAAGGAGAAATAGAACCCGGGCAGAGCACAGACGATACGGAGCCGACGGAGGAGGAAATCAGCAAATTTCTGGAACAACAAAGAAAACAACAACAGGAACAAATTCGACATTACAAAGAAGAAGTTCCGGAAGAGCAGTCGCAACCAGAGGGGCAACAGACAGCCCGACCGCCAGCAAGAACGGCCATGGCGACCGCTAGAGGCGAACGGATCCGGATCGCCCATGTTCCTCGCAGCCCCCTTGAGGCAGTGGCCGACAGGAGTGTCCAGGAGCAACACGGAGATCGGGTAAGGACACCGTCGCCAGACCGGGACATCCTGGAGCTACAACCGAAGGACAAGGAGGCGCAAGCGGCGGATGCAAGCCATGAGACTGAGGCGCGCCCAGACGCACAGGCACCACAAGTGGAGTGGTTCACGAACGAGATGGGGTGGATCGTACCCAGAGATGCAACGATGTCAGCCAGGGCGGTCAACGAAATTAAAGAGAGATGGAACAGAAGGAGAAAGGGAAAGCAGCAGAGTATATTAGTAAAGGACGACCGGAAGACGTGGAAGGTCATCTTTGGAAGGGGAAGACGTATCACTATAAGACACTTCGTGTCTTCTCAAGAGGGGGGGAGGTGTGACGCTCAGGAGCGCACAAACTAAATATAATATAATAACATAAGCAGTAGCTATAGATAGTCGTTAAGTAGGCAAGAAGCCGAAATAATAAGTTCAATACCGTAAAAAGGCAAGAAGCCGAAATAAATTTAAGTTAAACGGAAATATTCAAATTTAAATATCCGGGCGGGCGCGCCAAACAAAGGAAACGGTCACACTGACCAATAGCCACCACAAGCCACACGCGGTATGGCCATGGCTATAGGATTATGAAACTACAGTCACACTGGCGAGGGCCGGGAGGATATAAAAAGGGCGCCGGTGGCCCATACAGATCACTCGGCGGCCGACGGCGATCGGAGAAGGTAAGGCTTACACTTTGGAGTAAGCAAACTTCTCCGGGAGTTAACTGCGGAGTCTTTTTCGGGATAGGGTCTAGTACCCCGTCCACCCAATACATTGTAGTTAGTTGTTTCCCCCCTTCCCCTTCTCCCCACCCCCCTAAAGACCGGCCGTCATCAGTGATATCCGACCTTTGGGATCCCACACCCCAAGACCGACCGTCATTAGTGACACCCGATCTTCGGGGGACTCCACCACTCGGTTCTCCGAGGCGCTCCCCGGCCGTCTGCCGAACCGATCTCACCTGGTAGACCCAAGCGGCCTCCACCCTCTTCTCGGACCTGGTAGACCCAAGCGGCCTCCACCCTCTGCTCGAAACTGGTAGCCCCAAGCGACTCCACCCTCTTCTCGAAACATGGCAGACCCAAGCGGCCTCCAAACTGTCTCATCCTCCTAGACATAAGCATAGCCAAGAGGGACGTGGCTTTTCCTTTCTCATCCACAGGGTACCCGCGACTCCACCCTCTTCTCGAAACATGGCAGACCCAAGCGGCCTCCAAACTGTCTCATCCTCCTAGACATAAGCATAGCCAAGAGGGACGTGGCTTTTCCTTTCTCATCCACAGGGTACCCGCCGCCGCCACCGCCGCCGACGCCGCCGCCACCGGGACCACGACGGCCAACGACGACGCCGAACGACGACACGGAAGAAGACCCCGGCAACCTACGGGCGGACGAGCCCCTGCAGCACGAACTATATATATATATCCTATGTAACAAATAATTCTTAATAAACGCATACCGATTCGATTTCACTGAACCCGCTTACGTGTCCTACTCTGGGAACCGGGTCGACCTCTTACAGCAACCACTCCTGACATAAATAAATGTTGGAACGAACACCTGGACACCGTTGAGCTACCTCAGCAAAGCAGGATCGTTACATGGCGCCCGAACAGGTTAAAGTGGTTGCAAAGAGAAAGACATCGGTACAGAGTTATGTCGACGTGGGTGTACCTAGCAACTAAGGCGGATCTGATCAAGTACGCAAGAGAGTTCGGATTAGACACAACAGGAAAAGTGGAGGAGCTAAGACAGATACTGTCAGCATTCGCAAAGAACCCAGACCACACGGAGACGATCAGGCAAAGACTGGGAGTACTAGCAGAGAAGCACAAGAAGGAAAAAGGAGCAACGGATCAGAGCAGCACACCAGCGGAGGAACTCAACACAATGGCGAACCAGATCGACATACGGGTCAAACAAACCAACACCCCACCACGGCGGGAATCAGAAACTTCAGACATACCGGACAGAAAGGAACAAAAGGTAGAAGTGGAAATCCTAGACCAAGTAAGGAGTTGGGGGATCCGCTACCAAGGAGCAACCAATCCCTTGGAATTCATCAGCAAGATGGAGGAATGGGCCAAAGGCTACGGCATACACAAAGATGCCCTGATCCAGACGATGCCATTCATCCTAGAAGGAGTAGCAGTGGACTGGTGGAACACCACACCGAGCCAGATAAGGACATGGGAGGACCTCACTTTTTGCCACCAAGATATCAGAAACAGTTGGAAACACAAATCACTCAACTACGGCAGCGAGAAACAGAGTTAACAAGGGAATACGCAATGAACCTGAGGAAACTAATGAGATTTACAGAGTATTCAGAAAAGACAAAGCTGGACCGGATATACAGAAACTGCAGAAGTAAAATAAAGCTCTACACGAGACGGTCGGGATTTAAAACATTAACAGAATTCCTGAAGTTGGCAGAAGAAGTGGAAGAAATAGAAACTATGGAAGGAACCAACAGACCAATAACAACAGGAAACCAGAATTTGACGTCGGAAATCTGCATAAGATGGGGAGGAACAGGGCACGCCGCAAGAACCTGCACAAACCCCCCCAAAACTGTTTTGCTGGGTATGCGGCAGAAATGGAACAAGAACAGCGGAATGTTGCCGAGCTGGAGCGGGAAACGCCAAGGCCTGAGCAGATAACGCTGGCAGCTTAGGACCAAAAACAAATACCAGCGACAGGTGAACAATTAAGTTGTGACGGATTCCAAATATTGGCCACGGTAAAAATCGGACCAGTAAAAGCAAAAGGAACAGTGGACACAGGAGCTTCACGGAGTGTGATCAGCAAGAGAAGATACAACGAATTGAGAAAATATGGAAAATGGAGGAAGGGAAGGACAGAAATAACATTAGCGAACGGATCAAAGCA